TGGCTGAAAACCATTTCCACTGAAGCGGCTCAGTTATCCAGCCTGTCGTTCGCAATGAGGAAGGGCTTCCGCGGGACTGGAGCGAATGTTCGCCAGGCGAGAAGGAAGGAAGAATCGTTTCATCACCGATGGCTGTAAAACGCCCAGAGTAGTGCTTTGTTCTAGTGGGGCGGTGTACAAAATCAATCAATCAATGAAATAAATCAATCAATCAATAAAAAGCAGGTGCTGTTATTGGTCCCACACTCAGGAAGTAAAAGCCCTGAAAACAAACAGGTCACCTCTATTGAGGGGGCATGTGTGGGCGATTATCTTTACTGGCCATGGAAGAAACCATGTGGTGGTCCAGGCCCCCGTCAGGCTGGGCCACCCCAGAGCTGTGCATGGGGCAGAAAAACTGATATCAAACTTCCAAAAATTGCAGCCGGGCTGCCCCCCCCCGCTCGTATTCCAAGGAAATTTCAAAAGCAGGGCGGGGGCGGGGGAACTGCAGGCTCAGGGCAGAGGCCTCGTTTTCAGATTTATGCTCCGGGATTAGAAATTCTCCCCCGCTCTTGCAAAGAAGAAAGGAGAAAGGAAGGCTGGGTGGCCCTAGGGCCCGATCCTGGGGCGAGTGGGAGGGTGCGATACCTGCTCCACTGGTCTTCTGTACCATCTAGTCCCCTTCGATGTACGGCAACTGTCGGATACCTTCATTAGGTCGCCAACCTCACGCTTGTCTCCATCAGGAAGCTGTAGTGAAGTCCCGCCCGAGCATGGGGGGGGGGGAATTTGAGGTGCTTTGTTGACTTACTCTAGGGTGGCCTATCTGAAACCCATCGGTCCAGCACCTCAGGGAGGGACCCGCCTGCACCCTGACCTCACCCCTGCCCCAATGAAACCCCTGAAATGGGTCTTCTCCTTGTGCACGACCCCCCCCCCAAGCAACCTTCAGATAACTCTCACTTCCCATTCCACACCCCTTTTTCCTGGAAGGACAGCCCAGCCCAAAGTCATCTTATTCGTAAGGCTGTCTAGGCTGAAGCCTTAGGGGCCCCGCAGGAACTAGGGCCCATCTTCCCCCCCCCTTTTTTTCTTTTTTCTTTTTGGTCAGGCTTGGGGTGAAAGATGGATGTGCCAGATGGAGGAGAAATACTTGAAAGCCTCAGGCCCCAGCTGTGGGTTAACAGGGTCTTTCTTGGCCTGGCCACCTGCTGAAGAAGGCCCCGCTTCCCCCTCAGAAGGAGCCTGCATACGAAGCCCTGGCCTTGAGTTGGGAAAAGGGTCCCCGGCCACACTGCTCACTCTCCAGAAGGACCAACTGCACTGCCCATCCTCTCTCTCTCTCATGGCCTGCTCTGGGTGTGGCACAAACCCAATAGATCCAGGTGGTGCCGGAGGGAGCTAGAAGAGCTGCTGGACTGAAGAGTTAAGGAGACGAGAACTGCAGCTCAAGGCCTCAGGGGTGGGTGGGTGGGTAGGTGGGCTCTGCGGTGGCCCATGCCTACTGATACCTCCCCATCCCCTGGCCTCCCCGGGCATTTTCCCGTTTAGGTCTGTCCTGTAGTAGGTTGCTTCTGGGCATCCATTTGTTGAGTTGTTCCTTGATCATATTGGGTGGGCATTGTAGTCCGAGGAATGAATTTTTACTGGCTTACAAGACCACCCTCCAGTCTCAAACAACTACGGACAGACAATGAACTATGCAACACGGACAAAGAGATGGGGACAAAATCCTGCTACAAACCTAGATGCCAGTTGATGATGCCACATTTATTCTGGAAACACAATTGCTGAACCTAACAATGTCACACACAACATCAAAGGTGATTTTAATCTGTTCCTCTACCAATGTTATGCATACAATCTTTTGCCACCAATGCCCAACTGCACTTTACTTAGAACAAATGAGACAATCTCTACACAAAAGAATCAATGGACGGAAATCAAACATCAGGAATGACAACATAGAGAAACCATCTCGTATCATTTTAATTTATCAGGATATTCCACATAGGATCAAAAAAGAAACTACACAATAAGCATCCAGAGAGAGAGAGAGAGAGAGAGAGAGAGAGAGAGAGAGAGAGAAGAGATAAAATATATACATACGCTAGTCACATACATTGATGGATTAAATATTAGCCAAGGCTTTTTAGGCCACTGCCAGATATAAACACTACAAATATTGTGGTTTACTGTACCTCTTAGATATATTTTCCTCCTTAACAGAGCCACCTTAGAAACTTCAAAGGTAAAACAGATTCCATGTCATTCCTGCGGTCATCTGTTACCTGAGAAAATTAACACACGATTGTAAGTGCTTACAAAACCTATAAAGGAAGGTTCATTAACCACTGTGAAAAGCCTGTCTCCTCAGTATAACTAACATCCATTTATTCTACCATTACTATTCCATGTCAGAGGATTTCACCTTCTTTATGAAAGAAGTTTCAATGAAATACCTGCTTACCAAAGATGCTATCACCGCAATGTTGAACACCCACTCTTTCTTACTAACCAGCCAATCTCTGTTATTTCAACCATTTTTTGGCTTTTTCATTTGTTCTTTTATTTTTATTTTGTTTTGGCCTACAATTTTTGCACAGGCTAACATGGTTACCTCTTCTACAACTACATGCTTGTAGAACAATTTGTTTATATTATATTCACGTTAGAGTTTACTGCATTTCTCTGGCCATATCTGCTAATTCATCCCATGAGCTGCCATTATTTTTTACACTGTTAGAAAAAAGCGAGATGGGAATTAAACACATAAGAAACTCCCTCCTTCCCGCCCCCCTCCCCACAACAATTTCCATCATAGGAGAACCTGCAGGCAGGCTCCCCAGCCGTCTGGGACAAGAAATGATCTCTGATTCCCTCCAGTGGCCAATTTCTATTATTGCACTTTGAGAATACTTTTAAAATACAGTACAGAAGAAAATTAGCCTTGTGGGAAATGAAAATGTCAGAATACTCTACTAGTTTGGAGGGCTTATACTGCACTTTAAAGAAAAAAATTGTAGAAGAAATAAGGAGAACAACTATTCCCTTTCTGATGAACATGCTAGAGTGTTGGAATGATTATAGATATATTTCGAGTCCACCTACTTCAGAATTTCCCCCCAAAAATCTTAAAATTACATAAGGAAGTATTAATAGAGAAAGGGGTAAACATAATAAGGAGTTGTATGAAAAAGACTAAAGATAAAAATACTGTAAAGGAAATTTTGGGGGAAGAAGAGGGAATATCCTGGTTAAACATACTCCAAACAGAAAGTTGGGCAAGAGAGTGGACAAGAAAAGTGAGCTTAGAAAACTGACAAAGTTTGAGATTATTGAACAAAGACAAAATCAAGAAGAAAGAAACAAAAGAAAGGGAACAGTTAGTGTAAATTATTATATTTTAGTACATTTGGGATTTGAACAAGTGATGAAGAAAAATCAGTGGCAAGAGGACTTTGAGAAACAGACATATGGTCACAAAACATAATGAATAATGTTCACATTTGGTTGGCTAATTAAGGTGCCTACTTTGCAAGGAGCTGCTCCGGTTGACCCTCCCCCTCCCCACTCCACCCCAGAGAGGCCATTAAGTCAGATGGTGGCTGAGTGGGCAGTGCTGACGGGGCGAGGAATTCATAGACTCCAGGGCTGCCTTTCACGAGCTGATGCACCAAATGCTGCTGTGGGTTGTTCGTGGCCACTGAACGTTTAGCACAGCTGCCCCTGCAGAACACTTGCTGCCACTGCCAGGTACATCGGTGATTCCAGCATCATATCACCCACTCTGAATTCATGCCCTTGGCCTGAGAGTGCCCTCATGAAGCTCGTGGTGACCTACAACAGGACACAGCTGAGTGCCCTGTGCGTTGGGGCACAGAGACCAGCAGGATCCTTCCATTGTGGTGAGGAGGGCCTCTCCAGGTGGCTGAACGTGTCACGCGCCCCTATTCTGGCTTGGCTGGGATGCTCCCCAGATGGGCTGCTTCTGGGGGAGCCTCTGGGCACACCCCCAGGGAGGGAACCTGGCACACCACACGAACACCCACCCTGACAAATTCTGACACCATCCTGGAAGCACCCAGGGTATATCTTTGTACTTTAAGAATAAGGTGTAATTGCCTTGTGCGTTGTTTTGAAAGAAAACAAAAGTATTTTGTAAAGTGGTCGGAAGTGGAGTTGTGGGAGGGGCCACTCCCAGAAACAGTGGGAGAATTTGCACCATCCACTCAAGCCGCATCTCACTCTGTCAGACACTGGAACACAAGGTCTTTGTTGTCGCAAAGCAGCTGAGTCTTCTTGCTTTCAGCTTCTGCAGGTGGTGAGCGATGATCAGACATGCACCCCAGGAGGTCCAGGAGAGCACCATGAACGCCTAGACTGGCATGGTGGTCTGAATGTCCAGGTAGAGGTGGCCTCGGCCTCGCTCTCCAGTCCCTTTCAGGCATTCACTGGGAAGGACACACCTAAGTGGCAGGTCCCCTTTGCCACGTCCACTTTGAGATCAGAGCCCCAAAATCAAAGCAGCATGCGACACACTTTAGGGAATGGAAAGTTTTAATTCATTTTCTCACTGAAGTGTATGCTGCAGCAGAAGAACAAAGGAGCTGGGGGGGGGGAAGCTGGGGGGCAGCTAGTCCAGTCCAGGGCATGAAGGGAGCAGAGGAACGTGCACCGGTCGGGGTCAGTTGTCCAAGCAGAGGCTGCCACACTGTCCTTCTTCACACGACATCACTCACCTCCACCCAGACCCCTCCCTTGTCGAGACAGCAAAAGGACCCCTCTTCTGCCTCTTTGCTTGACCGGGGGGGGGGGGCTGCCACGGGAGGGGCCATAGAGAGCACTGCTTGATATGCAATTGCTTCAATAGCCAACCTGAGTAAAATGCAGCTATATTAAATTAACTAGACTCACTCTCTCTCTCTCTCTCTCTCTCTCTCTCTCTCTCTCTCTCTCTCACACACACACACACACACTTAGAGAGCTGCTCCCGGCCAACAACCTCTCTGTGGAAGGGCAGCCAGTGTTAGGGCCGCCCTTACAGAGACACCAAAGGCCTTGCTAGGAGTGAGGGGAGGGGGAAGCCATTCATCGGGCGAAGGCCTGTTAAGAGGCAAAACCTGGCGCTCCACAACCCCTGCCTGGCACAGGGTGCCACATCCATGCACTGCTGAAGTGCCAAGTGCCAATGCCCACCGGCTGCCCAGTCCAACAGAGATCCCCGTCCATGCCCACTCTTTATGGACCAGTTACAGAAAGCGCTTTTCATGAGCCCCGGGGAAAGCCCTTCCCCTCTTCTGGCCCCACCAGGCACAGAAGGTGGGCAAGGCCCCTGGCTGCCCCAACCCTGCAGCTCACAGCACCCACCACCACCACCACCGCCACCACCAGCAGCAGCAGCGCTTCTGCCCAGCTGCTGGCCTCCTGCAGCCGTGGCAAGCCCCGTGGCCTCAGGACTACCCGAACGGAGACCCCCAGAAAACCACACACAGATCCGGGCAGCCCACAAGTGGCCGAGGCCAGGAGCTGGATGGATGCCAGCCTGCGCTGAGCCCCGCTCCAAAGACCCGGCCTGCATCCAGGGAGACCAGCTCCTGCTCCCAGGCCACGGCACTGCTCTTGAGGGCCGCCCAGTTGGGCCCCACGTGGCTCCTGGCTCACTGCACCACACAGCCATCTTCCCCCTCCTCTGCCGCTCTGCTGGGGGTCTGAGGCCTCTTGTCCTGTGGGGGGGACAGAGGGGGGCTCAGCTCCTCTGCCGCCGAAAACTCTTCCCGCAACTCCAGCAGAAGGTCGCGGCTCTCGCTGGGAGGCAGGTTGCTGAGGTAGTACTGGGGGGCCAGCTGGGCCAGCCTGCAGAAAAAGGGTGTTTCACTGTTGGGGGAGGAGAAGCACCCCCTCCCGCTAGAAAAGGCCCAATGGCCTCCCGGCTAAAGAGACCCAGCTGCACAGGGAGGGGGGGCAGAGTAGCTAAGACCCTCCTCCCACCGCTCTGTTCAAAGCACACAGAAGCCTGAGTCGCCCCCCCCCAAAAAAAAACCCAGCCCAGCCCCCAGGGCTCACATCTCTGGCTGGATCTCGGAGACGATGTTCAGGCAGTTATCCTGCGAGACAGTGAACTCGTGGTACACCACCCAGAGGGGAGGCCGGGGGGGCGGCCGGCGGAGGCGGTAGCAGCAGGTGAGGGGCAGTTGGGCCAGGTGCTTGTGGGTCAGCAGCAGGTAGTTGCCAGAGCCGTCGATGTCCCGGGCCACCTGGATGGAGGGGGCAGAACACAAAGGGGCTGTGGGGTCCAAAACCCACTGCTCTGGGGCCGGGACACACACACACACACACTGCTCTGGGGCCGGGACACACACACACACACACTGCTCTGGGGCCGGGACACACACACACACACACTGCTCTGGGGCCGGGACACACACACACACACACTGCTCTGGGGCCGGGACACACACACACACACACTGCTCTGGGGCCGGGACACACACACACACACACTGCTCTGGGGCCGGGACACACACACACACACACTGCTCTGGGGCCGGGACACACACACACACACACTTCTTGCGCCAGGAGTCCCAGCCGTGGCATCTCCTTCGGCCACCGGCGGCAGGGAAAGGCCCCGCCCTCCATGGGCCACAGGCATCCCCTGCCAGCCCCCGCCTGAGAGGGACCCGTGCAATTCCTCCAGAAGGATGTGGGTCCTGGTTTCCAGCAAAAAGCTTGGTCCCTCCACAGACACCCCCGGCCCCCCCATTCATGGGTGGGGAGACCAAGCCATTCTGGAGACAAGGGAGGAGCTCCCAGGCGGAGACACTCTGCTCCAACCTAAGGCTCCCGAAAGTGTTCAGGCTGCTGGGCCTTTCCTGGACCAAGGTCCTGCTGCTCCACCACCACCCCCACCCCCGGACGCTTCACAAGCAAAGCAGAGCCCTTCACACACACCCCGACTCCACGGGGCCTGCCCCACGCACTCCTTGCCAGCCCCCATCTCTCATCCCTCTCCTGCATGGATTGCATGGGTAGCCACAGCTGGACTACGGGTTGCCCCCAACGGGGAAGGCTCCCCCCAATTCTGCCAGGACCCCACCTTGAGGAAGAAGCCTGAAAGGAGGGCCTGCTTCAGCCGCTGGACGTTGCCCTCCGTGCCAAAGGCTGGCGGCGAGATGGGCAGCTCAATCCGCTGCATGACCTCCAGCAGCTCTGCCCGCACGGACCCCGCCAGCCGCAGGGCAGCCTCACTCACTGCGTGCTTCCGGCACCAACTTTCGGGGTCATTCTCTGGAAAGGAAAGAAGGGAAGGAGTGGGTGCAGATAGTCCCCCACACACACACACCCCATCCCCAGGACCCGCCCGCTACTCCCCCCCCCCCGGCACTCACGCTGATGGAAAGCGTTGAAGATGTTGATGAGAGTGAAGTGGTCGCCAGCCGGATGCAACAGGGACCGCTGCCGGGCGGCGACTGCCTCTTCCCAGCGGGAGGGAGGGGTCAGGAAGCAAGGTCCCACTGCAGATCGGGGAGGGGGGGAGTGAGGTGAGCAGCACAGCCACACAGGGAGCACACCTGCCCCTGGAGGGACTGCCAGCCCCCCACCCCCCACCCGCCAGGGGGCAGAACAGAGGGAGCAAAGAAGGAAGGAAGGAAGGAGCGAGCCCAGGGTGCTCAGGAGGCCGAGTCAAAGCTCCCCCACCAGCTCTCTTTCCAAGGGACAGGCAGGTGCCCCCAAGCCCTGGGGAGAGCCACCGGGGGGGGGCTTTCCTGCCTGCCTGCCTGCCTTCCTCGCCACCTGGGCTTCTAGCAGTCAAGCAGCGGCCGAGGCGAGGGAGCCCGGGGCCTGTACCTGTCAGCATGGCAGCCAGGGTGAGCATCTCGTCCACGCAGTCAAACTCGCAGGCGGCCAGGAGAGCCTTAGCCAGCTGGGGGTCAAGAGGGAACTCTGAGAGGATGATGCCCACCTCGGAGAGATGCCCGTCGTCATCCAGCGCAGCCAGGTAGTCCAGGTCTTCCAGGGCCTGCATCAAGGACTCGGGGGCTGGGTGGGCATAGAGAGAAGTCAGGGAGGAGGCAAAAAGAGGGCGGCCAGCCGTCCCCCCCCCAGGCTCCCAGCCGCCCTTTCTTCGGTCGGCCCTTGCCCAGCGAGGGCAACTCTTCCGCCCCTCCCACACGTCCCCCCCACACACACCTGGCCTGTCCAGGAAGTCGCACTGGCCCATGTCCGCAATGTCCAGCCTCTTGAGCAGCAACACCAGCCAACTCAGGTTGGCCTCGGTGATGGGTGGCGGAGGGAGGGCTGGCAGCTGCTCCTCAAAGACCGGCTCCGAATAGAGGCGCACGCAGGAGCCTGCGGGGTGGAAGGCAAGGAGGACCATGAGGCGGGCCAAGGGGGTGGCGGCTGGCGGCCAAGCTCTTCCCTCAGCCCTCTGATCTGGGGGGGAGGGTCTCCAGGCCTGCTCCCGAGCGGGCAGGGCTCACCTGGGGGGTTCCCCGCTGCCCTCAGCCGCCGGGCCTCGGCCTGCCTCTTGCTGATGGGACGCAGGCCCTGGGACTCTGCTCGGATCTGTGGATTGTAAACCTGTTTGGGCAGAGAAGGCAGTGTAAAGGGGTGGGGGGGTCTGTCCAGGTGGAACTTTGACTGGGGAGGAGGGGGGGAGTTTGATGGGGGCTGGACCAGGCAGTAATGCACCAAGAAGCTCTGAGGCTGGGGACGGGTGGGTGCGCTCGAGCATGGGAAGGTCCCTCGGGCTTTCTCGATGCAAAAAGACAGTCCTCCCTCTTCCATCTTCATCCCAGCCAGGCTAGGGAAGGAGAGAAACCAGGTGGGGGCCACTGGAATGGGAGGCTTGGCTCAACCTTCTCTTCATTAAGCCCTCAGCAGCCCATTACTGGATTGGGGGGTGTCTGCCCCAGTTGGGGAGGGAAGCAGGGAGTCACAGACCGAGTGCCACCCCAACTGTTGCTCTCATCATCCCCCTCTCCTGCTGGCCAGGGTGGGCGGACAAAGCTGCACACCAGGTAAGAAGAGCATTGCAGAAAGCAGAGGTGGGAAGCCAGGCGTCCTCTGGGCAATTCCGGACTCCCACTCCCAAAATCCCTCATCCCTGGCCCTGCTGACTGGCGTTCCTACGAGTTGTCATTCAAAGCATTGGGCCAGGGTCACACTCCCTACGGAGGGGGCCACCCAGGCCATCCTCAGCCCACCTCTCATGCGGTGACCCTTCCCTGCTCTGCTGCTGGTCCATGTGCACACGCCCACTCCCTCACACACTCACACTGCGCAGCTCCAGCCCAGCATCAATGACGTGCCGGACGCTTCCGACGGCGAAGCCTCCGTCTGCCAACCAATGTGAGACGATGACCTTGCGGGTCCGGCCGCCCTCGCCAGGCAGCCCCGAGTCGCTCTCGTACACCCTCTGGACGTCCCGCCCCACCCCAGGGTGGAGGGGCAGCACCAGCAGGGGACCCAAGCTGGGGGGCAAGGTGACGGCCTCAGCACGGATGGCCTCGCAGCATGCCGCGATCTCCTGGGTGGAGCGAGGGAGAGACCTCGTGTCAATCGGGGCGGGGGGGGAGCTCATGGAAGAGCCAGCCAGACACAAAGAGGCGTCCGCCCCCCCCACAACTCTGGGGCTCTTCCCACCACCCCACAATGCTCCTTAGCCTGCCCCCGACACACCCCACGCTAAGATGCTGCTTCTCTATTCTGTATCCCCCGTGTCATTTAAAATCAGCAGAGAGAGAGTGCAGGCCGGCTTCCTCCTTTC